AGTAACTGTTAAAAGTAACAAAACAACAATAATTCCTTTGATTCCATTTGATTCTGTCCCTCATTTTCTATTCCTCAGTTAAAGTGCTGTGTCATTGTTTCTCCAGAGGAAATGCCTCAGTTAAAGTGCTGTGTCATTGTTTCTCCAGAGGAAATGCCTCAGTTAAAGTGCTGTGTCATTGTTTCTCCAGAGGAAATGTGTGAGGACGACTCATCAAACAGTGTCTGAAACCCCCTCCCCTGTTATGATAACAGCTCAGTGCACAAAGAAGCAGAAATAATGTTTCACAAAAAAACATAGGATGGTGTGCTTGAAGTTGTATTAGTACCGTGTTCACTTCAAGAATTATACAATTGAGTAAATTGAAAGGAAAAGGGATGTTATAGAAACAATGCCATTCCATCCCTTATTGACCAGGTATCAACCCTGGGTTGTCTGCATGACCCAAGACTGCATTAGCCCTTTGAGCTAAAGCCTAGGCATTAACTCTGGGAGCTAACACAAGTTTCCGGGTGTCAGGCAAAGTCACTCATCATGCAAGCATAGTTCGGCGAACTACCAACACTCGCAAACAATAGTTAAAAGGACTCAAAAGTCAAGTGCTTTGCCTTGGACAAGTCCTGAGTGCTGAAATGAGTGAGTGCATGAAATCAAAGGAAATGTCATAGCTAGCCGCATAGAGCTGCTCTTACATTTTACATTTGAGTCATTTAGCAGACGCTCTTATCCAGAGCGACTTACAGTTAGTGAGTGCATACATTTTAATACTTAATACTCTTAATATACAGGACCTGCTATAGAGCCGCACTAGTCTTAATCATTCCACTCAGCCGTATTACCACGGAGACCAACAGGAAAAACATGTCAAATTGAACATGAATGAGGACGAAATTGGCTCATGCCAGGCAGGGATGGAAGGTTAGTCAGCGATGTGGAGAATTCTGAAAATATTCATATTGATTGTTTGTCATTGATTCGTCATGAGTGGCTGTGTGTGGATTGATTTGCAGGAGTGCCCGCAGCGTGGAATAATCATTAGCCGTTTCCCTTCACCGCAGGTTTCTATCCATACAGAATAATTACTCCGCTTTTCAAAGCTAGGCTCTCTGAGTGTTTTTGTGACTTTATTAGCTTTTGATCAGCAGAGAGAGCCACGAAACTCCATCACTGTATTACTATCCTGGCTGTATTCATCCAGACTGTTGACAAAACCTTCAGTGCGCACACACACACACAGACCCCACCCACCCCACACACACACCTGTAAGCTATGGCAGTAATTGATGTCATCCCTGGATGTTTATTGGTTCCTGAAGTTGTGGACGGTGCGTCATCAGGCAATAGAAGGTCCCCATCCCGTTCTCCGGAGCCAGAGCCCCGTCACCTTACCTCTTGGTATGAATGAATATGCATGAAGCCCCTGGCCCTCAGGTCATCTGGACGTCACCTAGCTGCGTCAAGCCGTTACAGTTGGGGTGATAGAAGGGGTGTGAGGGGGGAGGGGCTTTGGGGTAATAGAAGGGGTGTGAGGGGGGAGGGGCTTTGGGGGTAATAGAAGGGGTGTGAAGGGGGAGGGGCTTTGGGGTAATAGAAGGGGTGTGAGGGGGTGGAGGGGCTTTGGGGTAATAGAAGGGGTGTGAGGGGGTGGAGGGGCTTTGGGGTAATAGAAGGGGTGTGAGGGGGGAGGGGCTTTGGGGTAATAGAAGGGGTGTGAGGGGGTGGAGGGGCTTTGGGGTAATAGAAGGGGTGTGAGGGGGTGGAGGGGCTTTGGGGTAATAGAAGGGGTGTGAGGGGGGAGGGGCTTTGGGGTAATAGAAGGGGGTGTGAGGGGGGAGGGGCTTTGGGGTAATAGAAGGGGTGTGAGGGGGGAGGGGCTTTGGGGTAATAGAAGGGGTGTGAGGGGGTGGAGGGGCTTTGGGGTAATAGAAGGGGTGTGAGGGGGTGGAGGGGCTTTGGGGTAATAGAAGGGGTGTGAGGGTGGAGGGGCTTTGGGGTAATAGAAGGGGTGTGAGGGGGTGGAGGGGCTTTGGGGTAATAGAAGGGGTGTGAGGGGGGAGGGGCTTTGGGGTAATAGAAGGGGTGTGAGGGGGGAGGGGCTTTGGGGTAATAGAAGGGGTGTGAAGGGGGAGGGGCTTTGGGGTAATAGAAGGGGTGTGAGGGTGTAGGGGCTTTGGGGTAATAGAAGGGGTGTGAGGGGGTGGAGGGGCTTTGGGGTAATAGAAGGGGTGTGACGGGGGAGGGGCTTTGGGGTAATAGAAGGGGTGTGAGGGTGTAGGGGCTTTGGGGTAATAGAAGGGGTGTGAGGGGGTGGAGGGGCTTTGGGGTAATAGAAGGGGTGTGAGGGGGTGGAGGGGCTTTGGGGTAATAGAAGGGGTGTGAGGGTGTAGGGGCTTTGGGGTAATAGAAGGGGTGTGAGGGGGTGGAGGGGCTTTGGGGTAATAGAAGGGGTGTGAGGGGGGAGGGGCTTTGGGGTAATATAAGGGGTGTGAGGGGGGAGGGGCTTTGGGGTAATAGAAGGGGTGTGAGGGGGTGGAGGGGCTTTGGGGTAATAGAAGGGGTGTGAGGGGGGAGGGGCTTTGGGGTGATGTGAGGGTGGAGGGGCTTTGGGGTGATAGAAGGGTTGTGAGGGTGGAGGGGCTTTGGGGTAATAGAAGGGGTGTGAGGGGGGAGGGGCTTTGGGGTGATAGAAGGGGTGTGAGGGGGTGGAGGGGCTTTGGGGTGATAGAAGGGTTGTGAGGGTGAAGGGGCTTTGGGGTAATAGAAGGGATGTGAGGGGGGAGGGGCTTTGGGGTAATAGAAGGGGTGTGAGGGCAAGGGGCTTTGGGGTGATAGAAGGGGTGTGAGGGCAAGGGGCTTTGGGGTGATAGAAGGGGTGTGAGGAGGGGGAGGGGCTTTAGGATGTGATGAGGTGTAATACTACTCTCTATCTCTCAATTCAATTCAAAGGGTTTTATTGTCATGGGAAACATATGTTTACATGACCAAAGCAAGTGAAATAGATCATAAATACAAGTGAAATAAACTATCAAAAATAAACAGTAAACATTAAACAAATGTTCCAAAGGAATAGAGACATAGCTGTGATTCACCAGTAGTGGATAGATGGCAGGCAGCCCCTAGCTGTGAGTCACCAGTAGTAGATAGATAGATGGCAGGCAGCCCCTAGCTGTGAGTCACCAGTAGTGGATAGATGTCAGGCAGCCCCTAGCTGTGATTCACCAGTAGTGGATAGATGGCAGGCAGCCCCTAGCTGTGAGTCACCAGTAGTGGATAGATGGCAGGCAGCCCCTAGCTGTGATTCACCAGTAGTGGATAGATAGATGGCAGGCAGCCCCTAGCTGTGAGTTACCAGTAGTGGATAGATGGCAGGCAGCCCCTAGCTGTGATTCACCAGTAGTGGATAGATGGCAGGCAGCCCCTAGCTGTGAGTCACCAGTAGTGGATAGATGGCAGGCAGCCCCTAGCTGTGAGTCACCAGTAGTGGATAGATGTCAGGCAGCCCCTAGCTGTGATTCACCAGTAGTGGATAGATAGATGGCAGGCAGCCCCTAGCTGTGATTCACCAGTAGTGGATAGATAGATGGCAGGCAGCCCCTGGCTTTAGTTGTTCTCTGCTCTCATCCATCACCTGCCCTCTGAGCCCAAACGAGAGGCCTTGGGGTTAGATGTCGCACCAGTTATTCCTCCACTACAAAGCCAAATGCTCAGTTTGTGTTATTGGAGATGTAATGTGTAATATTCAATTAACAACTAAACAGAATGGATTTGTCCCTACACTGGAACTGATACCATCATCATTGTTGAATATTCAATTAACAACTAAACAGAATGGATATGTCCCTACACTGGAACTGATACCATCATCATTAATGAATATTCAATTAACAACAATACCCCCCTGGTAAAAAATCTAACAACAACAACATAGCATATGATTTCATGAAACAATGCTTAACTTGCTATGAAGATGAATATGCTATTCTACTCTACTCTATTCTACACTACACTACGATACACTACTCTACTATATTCTACTCTACTCTACACTACTCTACTCTACACTACTCTACTATACAGTACTCTACTCTACTCTACAGTACTCTATTCTACTCTATTCTACTACATCTACTCTATTCTACTCATCTATCTACTCTACGCTACTCACGGATCTCTCTACTCACTCTACTCTATTCTACTACTCTACGCTACTCTACACGACCTATCACTCTACTCTACTCTACTCTACCTACACTACTACCACTACTCTACACGCTACAACTACACTCCACTCTACCTACTCTACACTACACCGACTCAGACTACACACCTACGTACCTACACTCCACTCTAACGCTACCTACTCTACACACTCTACACGACTCTCACACTACTCGACGCCCACACGACTCGACACTAATCTACCCACTACACTACTCTACACACTCTCACTCTACTCACACATACTCTACACACTACTCACTCTACCTACTACCGACACTACTACACTTACTCTACCCTACTCTCCACTACTCTACACTACGCTACTCCACTCTACTCTACTCTACTCTACACTACTCTACCCTACTCTACTCTACTCCACTCTACTCTACTCGAACGCCTACTCTACTCTACTCTGCTCTCTACACTACCTACTCTAACACTATACTCCTCAACCTAACTCTACTCCACTCCCACTCTACTCTACACTACTCTAACACTACTCTACTCACACTACTCTACTCTAACACACTCCACCTACTCTACCTACCTACTCTACACTACTCTACACTACTCTACACTACTCCTACCTACACTACTCCCACTCCACTCTACTCTAATCGTAACCTACTCTACTCTACTACTCTACTCTACTCTACTCTACTCTACTCTACTCTACTCTACTCTACTCTACTCTACTCTACACTACTCTACACTACTCTACACTACTAAACTCTATTCTACTCTATTTTACTCTACACTACTCTACTCTATTCTAATGTATGATGTGTTGTTAAGTTGTAATGTCTCTCTCTCAGCTTGTGTAAGGGAAGGACCCTGTATTCAGTGGTGAGAGATGCTAAAGTCATCCTGGATGTCAACAAGACCAGACAGATCGCCCAGGAGATGGTTAAGGTACTGTAACGTTTTTAAGACTCATTACACATTACCTTAACAACATAATAAATGTGTTGGAGACTGGCTGGATCAATCAATCAAACATTAAATCAATCAATCAGTTTATTCTACAACAACACTGGTCACAAAACATGACTCAGCCTAGACCCCCAATGAGTTATGTTTGTGTTGTTTTCAGGGAATGGGCTATCTTCATGCCAAGGGGATCCTACACAAGGACATGAAGTCCAAGAATGTCTTCTATGACAACGGCAAAGTGGTCATCACCGACTTCGGACTCTTCACCATATCTGGGGTTCTGCAAGCCGGCAGGTTGGTAGTTACTGTTGTACTTTACAGTAGAGCAGAGCAGAGTACAGTACAGTAGAGTACAGTAGAGTACAATAGAGTAGAGTACAATAGAGTAGAGTACAGTAGAGTACAGTAGAGTAGAGTACAATAGAGTACAGTAGAGTAGAGTAGATGTATTGGGATAAGATACATCTGTTAAAAAAAGCATAAGTAGGAAAACAAAAATAAACATCAGTGCTAAACAAACAGAGAGGCGCGCGTAATTATAACCCCTCCTGCTGTGACAGTTATTTTACTGCAGTGATGATTATACTCTTTAGTGGCTCAATGGTCTGTATTAGCCAGAAAATGATATGGATCGGTGCTAATCTCTATTTAATTTGTCTCCCTGAGAGTGATTAAAGTCTATCTCTGCTTTCTGCCGCCACTGTGCTGAAATGACTGCTCACTGAAATGACTTCTCCCTGAAATGCCACCAGCCACAAGTTTCACACAGCAAGGCATTCTAATAAATATTATATCAAAACCTATACAGTGAGGGAAAAAAGTATTTGATCCCCTGCTGATTTTGTACGTTTGCCCACTGACAAAGAAATGATCAGTCTATAATTTGAATGGTAGGTTTATTTGAACAGTGAGAGACAGAATAACAACAAAAAAATCCAGAAAAGCGCATGTCAAAAATGTTATAAATTGATTTGCATTTTAATGAGGGAAATAAGTATTTGACCCCCTCACAATCAGAAAGATTTCTGGCTCCCAGGTGTCTTTTATACAGGTAATGAGCTGAGATTAGGAGCACACTCTTAAAGGGAGTGCTCCTAATCTCAGTTTGTTACCTGTATAAAAGACACCTGTCCACAGAAGCAATCAATCAATCAGATTCCAAACTCTCCACCATGGCCAAGACCAAAGAGCTCTCCAAGGATGTCAGGGACAAGATTGTAGACCTACACAAGGCTGGAATGGGCTACAAGACCATCGCCAAGCAGCTTGGTGAGAAGGTGACAACAGTTGGTGCGATTATTCGCAAATGGAAGAAACACAAAAGAACTGTCAATCTCCCTCGGCCTGGGGCTCCATGCAAGATCTCACCTCGTGGAGTTGCAATGATCATGAGAACGGTGAGGAATCAGCCCAGAACTACACGGGAGGATCTTGTCAATGATCAAGGCAGCTGGGACCATAGTCACCAAGAAAACAATTGGTAACACACTACGCCGTGAAGGACTGAAATCCTGCAGCGCCCGCAAGGTCTCCCTGCTCAAGAAAGCACATATACAGGGCCGTCTGAAGTTTGCCAATGAACATCTGAATGATTCAGAGGAGAACTGGGTGATTGTGTTGTGGTCAGATGAGACCAAAATCGAGCTCTTTGGCATCAACTCAACTCGCCATGTGTGGAGGAGGAGGAATGCTGCCTATGACCCCAAGAACACCATCCCCACCGTCAAACATGGAGGTGGAAACATTATGCTTTGGGGGTGTTTTTCTGCTAAGGGGACAGGACAACTTCACCGCATCAAAGGGACGATGGACGGGGCCATGTACCTTCCCTCAGCCAGGGCATTGAAAATGGGTCGTGGATGGGTATTCCAGCATGACAATGACCCAAAACATACGGCCAAGGCATCAAAGGAGTGGCTCAAGAAGAAGCACATTAAGGTCCTGGAGTGGCCTAGCCAGTCTCCAGACCTTAATCCCATAGAAAATCTGTGGAAGGAGCTGAAGGTTCGAGTTGCCAAACGTCAGCCTCGAAACCTTAATGACTTGGAGAAGATCTGCAAAGAGGAGTGGAACAAAATCCCTCCTGAGATGTGTGCAAACCTGGTGGCCAACTACAAGAAACGTCTGACCTCTGTGATTGCCAACAAGGGTTTTGCCACCAAGTACTAAGTCATTTTTTGCAGAGGGGTCAAATACTTATTTCCCTCATTAAAATGCAAATCAATTTATACAAATTTTTTGTTTGTTATTTTGTCTCTCACTGTTCAAATAAACCTACCATTAAAATTATAGACTGATCATGTCTTTGTCAGTGGGCAAACGTACAAAATCAGCAGGGGATCAAATACTTTTTTCCCTCACTGTATATGAAGCAGCTTTACAGGCGCTATCAACATGTTGGAAGGAAGTGTGTGTGTTCTCTAAAACACTGTGAAGTATGTTTTCTTTAGATTTTGATTGACATATATGGTGAGACGACAACAACTGCTATAATTGACTGGTGATTAGATTTGTCTTGATGGATTTATTTCCATTTAATTTGCCACATCAATTAAAAATCTCCAGTAGGTTTGAGATGTGTTCCTGTAATTGACTGTGAGAGGATTAAATTTTTTACATTTTTTACATTTACATTTACGTCATTTAGCAGACGCTCTTATCCAGAGCGACTTACATGAGCAATTAGGGTTAAGTGCCTTGCTCAAGGGCACATCGGCAGATTTTTCACCTAGTCGGCTCGGGGGATTAGAACCAGCGACCTTTCGGTTACTGGCACAACGCTCTTAACCACTAAGCTACCTGCCGCCCCCATGTGCTATGTACTACTAATTATTATAATCAGAAAGATGTTGATTATACAGCCGACTTCCCAACGAGAGGTATTGCATAGTGTGTTTTCAACAAGTTTGTACAACACAGTTGAAACGTGGTGTTGCGTAGGAGTGCATTTCAACACTATGGATGGAAGAGTATATGAGATGAGTCACTGTTTATGTCAAATGAAGATGGATGGTTTCATATTGGCATTCTTGACAGCTCATTAAAACCTAAAGCCTCTTCTAAATAAATGCTGAAGTGTTCCTGTAGACAGATATGCAATCCTGCAACATGCACCTAGATCTTATACAGCCTTATCCAGTCTATCGTTAGTTTCCAGTGTAGCCAACTGCCATTTAGGTTTGCTCTGGAATCAATACTTTTAATAGTAGTGAGCATCTCTCACTGTTCATTTACTCAACCTGGTCTCAGAGCATTTCATATTATTCTGTACGTAAACCTGAGACACCCCATTAAGTATGATATGTTACGTTTCATATGGTAATTATTACTTTGTAGATGTCCATCACTCATTTCGTATGATATGCTACGAATTACAATTTGAATTATATGTTACAAATTTGCTAAACATGATACAGTTGAAGTCGGAAGTTTACATACACCTTAGCCAAATACATTTAAACTCAGTTTTTCACAATTCCTGACATTTAATCCTAGTAAAAAAGTCCCTGTCTTAGGTCAGTTAGGATCACCACTTTATTTTAAGAATGTGAAATGTCAGAATAATAGTAGAGAGAATTATTTATTTCAGCTTTTATTTCTTTCATCACATTGCCAGTGGGTCAGAAGTTTACATACACTCAATTAGTATTTGGTAGCATTGCCTTTAAATTGTTTAACTTGTATCAAACATTTTGGGTAGCCTTCCACAAGCTTCCCACAATAAATTGGGTGAATTTTGGCCCATTCCTCCTGACAGAGCTGGTGTAACTGAGTCAGGTTTGTAGGCCTCCTTGCTCGCACACACTTTTTCAGTTCTGCCCACATATTTTCTATAGGATTGAGGTCAGGGCTTTGTGATGGCCACTCCAATACCTTGACTTTGTTGTCCTTAAGCCATTTTGCCACAACTTTGGAAGTATGCTTGGGGTCATTGTCCATTTGGAAGACCCATTTGCAACCAAGCTTTAACTTCCTGACTGATGTCTTGAGATGTTGCTTCAATATATCCACATAATTTTCCTTCCTCATGATGCCATCTATTTTGTGAAGTGCACCAGTCCCTCCTGCAGCAAAGCACCCCCACAGCATGATGCTGCCACCCCGTGCTTCACGGTTGGGATGGTGTTCTTCGGCTTGCAAGCCTTCCCCTTTTTCCTCCAAACATAACGATGGTCATTATGGCCAAACAGTTCTATTTTTGTTTCATCAGACCAGAGGACATTTCTCAAAAAAGTAAGATCTTTGTCCCCATGTGCAGTTGCAAACCATAGTCTGGCTTTTTTATGGCGGTTTTGGAGCAGTGGCTTCTTCCTTGCTGAGCGGCCTTTCAGGTTATGTCGATATAGGACTCGTTTTACTGTGGATATGGATACTTTTGTACCTGTTTCCTCCAGCATCTTCACAAGGTCCTTTGCTGTTGTTCTGGGATTTATTTGCTCTTTTCGCACCAAAGTACGTTCATCTCTAGGAGACAGAACGCGTCTCCTTCCTGAGCGGTATGACAGCTGCGTGGTCCCATGGTGTTTATACTTGCGTACTATTGTTTGTACAGTTGAACGTGGTACCTCAGGCGTTTGGAAATTGCTCCCAAGGATGAACCAGATTTGTGGAGGTCTACAATTCTTTTTTCTGAGGTCTTGGCTGATTTCTTTTGATTTTCCCATGATGTCAAGCAAATAGGCACTGAGTTTGAAGGTAGGCCCTTGAAATACATCCACAGGTACACCTCCAATTGTCTCAAATTATGTCAATTAGCCTATCAGAAGCTTCTAAAGCCATGACATCATTTTCTGGAATTTTCCAAGCTGTTTAAAGGCACAGTCAACTTAGTGTATGTAAACTTCTGACAGACTGGAATTGTGATACAGTGAATTATAAGTGAAATAATCTGTCTGTAAACAATTGTTGGAAAAATTACTTGTGTCATGCACAAAGTAGATGTCCTAACCGACTTGCCAAAATTATAGTTTGTTAATAAGAAATTTGAGGAGTTGTTGAAAAACAAGTTTTAATGACTCCAACCTAAGTGTATGTAAACTTCCGACTTCAACTGTATGTTACGAATTCTAGCTAGGTGGCTAGGTTGCTAACATTAGCTAGCTGGCTAATGTTAGCTAGGCTAGGAGTTGGGGTTAGGATTAAGTTTAGGAGTTAGGTTAAAGGGTTAGGGGAAGGGTTAGATAAAAAGGTTAAGGTTAGGGGAAGGTTTAGCTAAAAGGGTAAAGGTTAGGATTAGGGGAAGGGTTAGCTAACATGTTAAATAGTTATAAAGTAGCTAAAAAGTGGTAAGTAGTTGAAAAGTTGCCAATTAGCTAAAATGCTAAAGTTGTCCGTGATAAGATTCAAACT